GGTAGTTGGGCCAGCAGCTGGTAGGCTTGGCTGTGCAGGAGGTGCTTTGGCTTATGGTATAAATGCAAAACTATGTTTTCCTCTGGTGTAACGCAGTGTAGTTCAGCTTACTGCAGTTTTGGAGACAACCACTTCAGCTGGTAGTAGTGGAGGGGAGTTTGCAGACTGCTGCATACGGAGGTCAGGCTATTGGGTGTGCTCCCAGGTGAATAAAAGCTCTGCTCAGCATCCTCCTAGTTGTGCATCTTGTCTGAAATGTTGCTTTACCTCCTTTCCAAGAGCTGTCAGGGGCCCAGTTTCCTTACCACAGGCTGTTTTCTATGCAAACTTGTAGCAGGATGCTCAAAGCGCTGTTCCAGCACAAACAGGGGGAGGGATACTGGTGCTTAGATGTGCAGGTGAGCTCACTGAAGGCAGAAGGACGCTTGTGCAAACAGAAAATGATTCTCAAGCTGGCAGGGTGGGTTACCCAGGCAGCAGCTTTGCTGTGGCATCCATACAGGCACAGGCAGGGTGGCCAAGTCCAGCAGTGGTGCAACCATGTTGATGAGCAGCCATGAGGTGCTGTGCTTCTTGCTTTGGGACTTCGACTCCACTGTAAGAAGTGACTGCTCTTATTGTATCATCTGATGTCTGAAGTTTTAGTGGTTTAAAACAAACAAACTATAAACCCCACAGGTACCCGAAGAGCTATTTAAATCCCAGAGCTGAAACTTTATTGGTTTTGAGCAACGCTGAGCACACAGCTGAATAACATAATTTTTCATTCATCTGACAGTACAGTTTTGTCAGCATTTTCTTGTCAAATACTACATCTGAAATTACTAACGGCCTTTCTGCTTGAAAAATATCAGCTTTGTGCCAGAGCAGAGTGCTTGTCATCTTTCTGAAAACGTCTCTCTGAAGCATGACTTTTACTTGGTCACTTGTGGGCAGTTGCAGTGTAATGCCATATATATATGGCATATATATATATGTTACAGTCTCATGAATTAAAGCAAAACCAAACCACTTGGTCTCCAGGCTGTGCTTAGGTTTTCAGAAGCAGATTCCTGCTGCTGAGTGGGTCAGATGCCAAAATCAAAGCCCTCCATGGTAGTGGTTTTACAGAAATCAGTGTTGTACAGTGAAAGCTCCAATAAATGTTATTCATGTAATGGCTAATATTTAAGGTAAGTTGTTATCCAGAAGAAGGTGTTGCCCTTCATATAAGCCTGTCCTTCCCAAAGGTGGAAGGTTATGTTAGCACATGAGATGGTTATCTAAGGACATAGAAAAGTCTGAGTTTTAAAGGGCTGTAGCAGTAAACAAAAAGTATTGAAATATTCATAAATATTCATGGAGAAATGTGCATGAGTCATGTGTGACACTGAAAGCTGCAGTCTGCCAGAAAACATGGTTGCATGCTAGCACATGGATAAATAGTGTGCTTTATTTTGATACACTTCATCCATAGCCTCACCTTATATTATACCTCATCCCAAACCTCCGTATTTGCTCCTTATGTGTAGTAGTCTCAGCAAGTGTATAGTATATTGCTGTTAACATTAAAGAGCCAAAACAAAGCTCAGAAGAATGACAATAGCATGAAATACAATAAGAAATACAAATCTTTCTGACAAAAATCTCCTGCAATACACTACACTACCATTTTTTGCTGCTATGGAAGCAATATTATTCGTACAGGTTTAAAAAAAGTAAAATCTGAAGATGACTAATAAGAATTTACTGTGAATGCTTTTGCAGATCCTTTTTACAGTCCTTGTTGAATTGAAATGAAAGTGATTTAATGTAATGCAGATAACTGTTTTTCTCCACCTCCTCCCAAGCAAATACTTCCATGAATTTCATGTATTCTGTCTTCCATATGGCCCCCGGGAGACTACAGATGTGCAGTTTCCTTGTGTATGTATTATAAACAAGAGTGAAAGAGCATTTGATCTGTGCAGTGTGAAATGGCAGAGCTCTCTTGCAGGGGGCCTCTTTCAGGAATATTTGAGAAGTAATTGAATATCTTGGAATGACAGAATTTGAAAATGAGTGCTAGTGTAGCTTGCTGCTGAAATATATTGGCCAGTTTTTCTTTCTGCAGTCTTTACAGATCACAGGAACAGAAGGAGAAAGTGCCATAAAACAATGGCTTCGTGGTGAACCATTATCAGAAAAGCGAGCTGGCGTTGGGATGGTGGCTGCTCAGAAGTGTGGTTTATGTGTAGAGGAGTAGGGGGAACCTTCTGTAATGTGGGGGATATCATGTGCAAAGGGCCAAGGACATAACCTCTGTTATTTTATCGAAGTGTTTGCACTTTCAGGCAGGTTGGTAGATCATAAAGGTTGGACCTTGACTCCTTTTTCTATCCACTGTGAGCTGTTTGACCACCAAAATGCTTTCTAGTTAAGTGAAAAATCCTTGTGTCTTCTACAGGGGATTGTCTAAACCCCACACATCCAAATTTCATTCAAACCCACTTTGGTTGTACTGCGAGATGCTCAGATTCAGATACCAGCCAACCATAAGGATTTAAACTGGGCTGCCATGGGTCATTCTCAATCATTGTTTACCTGTTCTTGCAGATTGTGATCCTCTGTGTATCCACCTTGTTACCCTGAGGTATGGCAGCATGTTGAACACACAGTGCTGCACTTGAACTTGCACCAAGAGGTGTGCTTTGAGTATGTAAGAAGCTACAGTGCTCTGCAGATGGGCCTCTGGTCCTCTCAGAATGAATGTCCCAGACTGGTGGAATCAACCAAACTCAAACTCCTTGCTGCTGTTCTGTGGAAATGATGACTGGGCCCTGCTGTACCTTAAAGGCATGTTTCAGGGATTAGTAAATTGATGCTTGCGAAGCACTTGGATTTACGGTAATTATCTGCCCAGAGAAAATCTGAGATAAGCAATAATTGTCACCTCAACAGAGTATGTGTAGCATGCAAAAAAGGCACAGGGCCACATGCTGAGCCACAAGAAGAGAAAAATACACTACATTTCTTCCCTAGTGAGAACTAGTCACTGTGTGCCAGATGAGGCATGGGGACAAGACAACTGTGCTATGCTTAAAAGATTAGTACCTGTGTATTGCTGCGTGCAATTAGTACCTGTGCGATTATCATCTGTGTGCAAGAGGGGCAAAGAAACATGCTCTGCATGTAGTGACTTCTTGTGGCCACTTTCGAGTTCTGGGCTGGGCACAGTGCTTGTTGGTTTGTCAAGTGAGGGTGGCACCCACACTGCCATTGGAACACGTGGAGTCATGGTGATAATGGCCATCCTTGGAGCTGTTTCACAGTCACCTGCTGAAGGATGAAAGTCAGGATGTTTTCTCCAACCACTTGTTGTTTTCCACAAATCCTTATTTCCCTTTCTGGCAATTACCTCCCCATAATTACCTCCCATCAGTTTCTCTTATGTGCTTCTAGTGCTGATGCACCTCCCATACCTCCACTTCCTTTCTCCTTGTCCCAACTAGGTTCCTTTCCTCACTTGATTCCTGGTTTGTTTTCCTTTTCCCCATCTGCTCCTTTCACCTGCTGCATAGATCTTACCTAGAGCAGCTGCTAAAGAGAAAAAGCTGTATTTGCCCATGTATCTTCAGGCCAGCAAGAGGTTGTTTAGTTGGGTGGAGGATGTTGCATGCATAGTCTGGTCTACACCAAGAGATCTGTGTAACAGATCACGGCATAGTCAGTACGCATGAATTTTAGAGGCTGTACTTGTGGAAATCTGGTGAGTCTCAGGTACAAATGATCCCAACAAGATTACTCCAAGAAAGAGCATGACTGGCTGAAAGCTTGGGTATTAAAGTGTAGTTATAGATGCTAAGCTGTCCAACTGGGAGGCCATATCAAGCAGAGTCTTGAAGATGTTTTATTGGGGTGGCACTCTCTCAAAACCTGTTGATGAACTGGCTATGTCATGAGATTGGTGGATTTTACCCAACAAAGTGGGTGTTTTGGAGCACTGAATTAAAATTCAGTGAAAAATTACATTTACCATATAGAACTATTTTCTGTTCTTTAACTGAAAGCATGTACTGTGATAAGGAAGGCAAACTGAAAGGAGCAATTACATACAGGGAATAGCCTGGAGTTATAATAGGAGTCAGCTGTGTGGTTAAAGACACCAAATGTCTTTCTGTAATGATCCAGCAAGAGCATTCACAGTACACCTCAGCTCATGTTGTGTGCAGCTTTGCATACTGCTGATTCAGACAAAAGCTGGAAGCTGCTGCCAGGAAATCATGAGAGGGTTAGAAAATATAATCCATAAGGAAATTCTGAGGGAACTGAATTTACTTAGTCTAGAAATGTCGGGACTGGAGCAGTCCTAGGACAGGTGTTTGTTGTGGATAGTGGTTAATCTGTCATCTGGAAGGAACAGGCTTTGTCCACAGTGCATAGTGGATTAAATTTGATACTGTGAAAAGCTTTCTCATGATGTATTTGCAAGAGTTTATCCCTTGGACTTCCAGACATTTTATACAGGAGGGAAGGTGTTTTCCCTCTGGGAGAAGGAGAGAAATAGGGAGGAGGTGACATCCCAACTTCCCTTCAATTTTTTTACATGTCTGTGATACTACTTGAGCATGAATGAGCTCCAGTTTTCCAGTTGTTTATAACTTTATCACAAGTTGGATGGATTTTCAGAAGGATTACTGAATTAAAAGAACATCCAGCACTAAAAGCTGATTGAATGTCAAGTACCTCTTCCAAAATATGAGAAACTCTTTAATTATTGATAAAATCTGTTTTTGTTGTTATTTACAAAAATACATTTTATTTTGTTAGCACTCTGTGACCGAATTCCTTCCTCCTGCCCCCAAAATTGCCAGTACTTAACATACAAAGTTTAGGTCGGATGGTTAAAAGTTTGGCAAACTTATAAGCAGATAAAAACAAGGTCTAGGGGGAAGTTTCGTGTAACATTAATAACAGGCCCCACCTATAATTTACGTCTATCAAAGCCAGGTTGCCTTGATGATTCTCAAATGTTTCTACAGGCTTTTAGAGAAGATCTGGAATGCCTTATTCAAGAACAGATGAAGAAGGGCAATAACCCCACTGGACTGCTTGCGTTACAGCAGATTGCTGACTACATTACAGCAAGCTCTTTTGCAGGTTTTTCCGCATCTTCACTCAGTAAGTGAATTATACGTATAATTGCACTTTTGCTCTTCCTTTTTTTATTATCAGCAGGATTTAGTAGTGCTGGGTTTTCCTCTTTCTTTGAATGAAAGTTCTGTCAAAGCTTGCTTCAGCTGTGAAGAAGTACAGATGGTGGCCTTAACTTTGCTTTTCAGGCTTCTTTCTCTCAAATTCCTTGATTTGTGTGGTGATATCCAAGATGTGTGGCATCCTCACACTCGGTTATTCTAGAATTTGCTAATAAAAGTTAAACTGAATTAGGGAACAAAACACTGTGCCTTGTTACTATTAGCTGTTTAACATGAGCATAAACTGAGATGTGAAATACATACCTGTTAAGATTGTTTATTTTCCTACTCTTGCATATAAATTGTTATTTAAGAAAAAGAGGGGAAAGAATAGGCTGTCAAAGTGAATCATTACATAAGCAGCTCCCGCAGTTAAAAACAGGTTGTAGTATGCACTCTAGTTACAAAGATGTCGCTAGGATCTTGCAGTAAACACCCAAGTTCTTCTTTCCAAGTCATGAAGAGCTGAAACATTAAAGTCAATTTGAATACTGTGGGTGGACATCATATGGGAGCTTACAAGTACAGCAGCAGCTGTCAGCATTCAGAATCTTTTGAGAACTGGTCCCAAAATGACACTTTGGAGTTCATTTAACAAAACAAGTAGAAGAGAACAACAGAGAATCCAAATAATCTCATCCCCATGTCTCTGGTTAGTGAGACTGTGGGCCCAGCTGTTGCGTCTGCTGTGTTTGCCCAGGGACTCAGACAGGCAGCCTAATCTCCAAGTGCATACTCTTTTTTGTTGAAAACCAAAATGATTTTTAGCTCTTCTGGTTGTAACTTTCCCTGTAAGCAAAGGTTGGAGCTCTCAAAGGGATATCATACATTCACGAAGGGGAAAGAGACATGTTTGTGTAATCACAGTTCAAAGAAATAGCTTGATCTCTATAATTTCACGGTTAAGAAGTGATCTAAGTGTTTGAGAACTCTCGTTTCTTCATTAGGACTAAATTTAAGTGCTAAGACTGAAACATCTTTTCAAATTAGTTTTACTGGTGTCAGAAGTCCAGCAGGAGTGTGTTCTCCTGTCATTTTCAAAATAATCTGTAAAAATACTTCATTAGTCACAAATGTCTTATAGCACAGTTCCAGTCTTAAACAGGATGTTGAATTAGGAGAGAGCTTCAAATCTGAGTGGTGTTTCAAAGGAAACCTTTATTTCACTTCTCTTGTCTTTGAAAAAGAGATGAAAACTGAAATTTGGGGTATGATTGCTGCTTAAAATAACAGAGGGTTTGGTAGAGATCTTAGAAATCCCAGCAGTGCAGTTCCAGTGTATGGATTGTTGGTACTGCTATGCTACCAATCAAAATACATGCCTTCTGGAAAGTCATGGTATAACTAGGAGTTATTTAATTGTCCAACTGGTCATCATCTCTTTGGTTTTTAATCTGTTTTTCAGGCCATGGGATGATTACACCCATCAATGATCTACCTGGGGTAGATACCTCCTCGTTTGTTAAGGGAGAAAAACTTACTCGCTGCAAGTTAGCCAGTTTATACAGATTGGCAGACTTGTTTGGGTGGGCACATTTGCCAAATGCCTATATCACAGTAAGTATTTTAGAGACCAAAACCTGGAATCTTACCTACTCATTCAGTTGAACTTCCCCCCTGAATAATCCATATTCAAAAATAGATCATTAATCCATTTTCTTCCTCCTTTGCAGGTAAGAGTGAGCAAAGAACATGACCATATTCTAATCATTCCAAGAGGTCTGTCCTTTTCTGAAGCTTCAGCTTCTAATTTGGTATGTGATTCACCTGCTGTAATAACTAGCAAGGCTTAACCTGTTACCTAAAAAACTTTAGTGGCTGCTGAAATGGTCTTCTAAACTATAATCATGCTGTTATTTGGGTTTTAATGTTTACCCACCAGGTGAAAAGCTGATGAACTATTTAGATACTAGTATCCTTTGTCCTCAGCATTTCTTCTTGGGTTTAGCTTCGCTTTCTGGTGCTTTGTCTTCAGCTTCAATGTGGAGCAGCAACATTTTTTTTTCCCATCTGATGAAGCTCATCAAATATCGTCAGTGGAACAACAATTTTTTTTATAACCTGACAATATGGTAATACATATGAAATGACTCTGCAGGAGTAGTGTTAGTAGAGTCAGCTCTTATCTTTATACGTGGGGAAATAAAGTTGAATAATCTTCTCCAGGCCAAACAAAGGAGCTGGGTGAAGTTACAGACTGGCATTTAGGCAGTGGTAGCTGCTAAATCATGAATCTTTTGGTGCAGAACCTGCCATATGTTCTCCATGTCAGTATGTATCTGTAAAGAAACTACCTCCTTGAAAGGGGTAGCAGATTGAGACTGATAGCATTACACCAGCAAACACAGAACCAAAATACAAACAAGAGAACAAGACCTGGTATAACCCTGCTGTTGTTTTTTGCAGATCCTGAAATTATTATTTTAATGTTCCCATGAAATTAAAAATTCCCTGTGCATTTAATTTTCTTATTGGAAATTTCTCAGAGTCTGAACTGTCTTCATCTTTAAAATGTAGGAAATGTTAATGAAATTGTTTTGAAAGTCAGAAACAAGGAAAGGTCAGTTAGACCAAAGAGGAATATGTATTGTAGCAGTGTCTTACCTTCCATGGCTGGACTTCCAACAGCTATCAAGGGTTTGGACAGCAGGATGGTTTATTGACACACAGAGTCATGGTTTCTCCTATTTTTTTAATGCTCTGACCCATAAATATGTGGGGGGAAATTTGGTACCAAGTGAGAAAGTTGTCAGGTTTTGCAAACTGTTTTAAGTACTGTTCCTTTGTTTGACTTTTCCAGGTTAAAGTAAACATCCTAGGAGATGTAGTTGACCAGGGAAGTACAAGTCTCAGTATTGACAATGCAGGATTCAGTCCACATGTGGCCATCTACTCCACACGCCCTGATGTCAGATGTGTAATACACATACATACCCCTGCAACAGCAGCTGTAAGTCTTCTTTCTCACATAAAAAGTAAAAGAAAACAGGTTTACCTCATAACTTAGAGCACATTTCTGAATCTGAATCACTGCTCACAGCAGTTTTAGTTTTGTTCTAGCATTGACTCTCCACTGGTCAAGAAAGGTGTGAGGTTATCAAATAAACGGAGAAAGAGGGCTAGGCCAGCACAGTGAAATGGGTGCTCAGGTACAAGTGTACTTGGGTTAGGCGCTGTAAAGTACATAGTTTACATGGGATTCATTTATAGCATCTTAGCCCATATAATGTGCTGTATGCATCATCATTTGTGGAAAAGCTTTTGGATTCTCTGCTTTTCTGCATCATTTGCATTCTGCAACTTCATTTTTAAGTGGCTTAATTAGTAGTTATGTTCAGTTTGGATTACCTCGCTATTAAAAAGTCATAGTTAACATAGAAGCTTAAAACAGTCTGTATAACAATGATAAAATTGTAAGGAGACTTGAAAGAATTGGTTTGAGATAAATAGATAAATTCATATTATTTTATATTTAAATGCATATACATGCATTCCTTGACTGAGGACAAAAAAAGGAATAACTTATACTAGCTTTCTGAAGTTATAAATGTGGGAAAGAAGGAAGAAACATTAAGTACGCTTATACTGACAATTATACATGGATACAAATCACAGAAATTAACTTAGCTGGGATAATTTGCCTTTTCTTATAATGACTGTTCCTAGGTTGGGTAGCAGCAGCTCTGTCACCCTATTGCAAATTAGACGGGGGGAGGGGGAAGCAAAAAAAGGTATTGTTTCTAAGCTTAAACTATAAAGAGTTTGTATGTCCTCTAGCAATACATCCTGCTAAGGCTTGGGTGGTTGAGATGTGGGGCTTAAGGATTGCATTTTTTGCTAATTATCAGTAAGTAATTAATTTTCTTGAAACAGGTTTCATCTATGAAGTGTGGCATCCTTCCCATATCACAGGAGGCTCTGATTCTGGGAGATGTTGCTTATTACAACTACCAGGGATCTCTTGATGAGCAGGAAGAGCGAATTCAGCTTCAGAAAGTTCTTGGACCCAGTTGCAAGGTATTCAACCTCATTCACGCTCTTCATAAACCATTTTCATGTACTGTGACAGTTTCTACCATTTAACATTAGTGTCTTCATTTACTAGGTATTAGTATTGAGAAACCATGGTGTGGTAGCACTAGGAGAGACACTGGAAGAAGCATTCCACTATATTTTCAATGTGCAACTGGCCTGTGAAACACAGGTGAGAGAGAATTTATCTGTATCTTGTTTCAATGATTTCTGCTGTTGAGTTATAAATTACATCCAGATGGGAAGAGCTCTAATATTACAGAATATTTGTGATTGTGGAATCCAGTAATCATATACCATGTCAGAGAAATTGGAACAATCAGGAAAAGAGAAGGAAGAGCACAAATACAGTCTTCCTAGAAAGAGTGTCACTTTAAGTGACACTCTGAAGGATACAGGTTTTGTTCCATGCTGTGGAGAGTGAGCTTCATGCAGAGAATCTGTTGGATAATAGATTCAGTGGTGCTCTCTGCATGTGGGAAGCATGTGTTAAGATCTCTTGACATCCAGCTTGTTTATCAAAGCTGAATGTTGTGACAAGAAAAGAAGCTTCTCACTATGATCACAAATATTTGTAAAACCAAATAAACGAAAGGTCTTTGGAGCAATGGTAGAGGATAGGGTATTTGAAAAGAATGTGCATCCCAAATTATTTCTGTTTTGTCAGCTACCTAGTTAAGTATCTAGATATTATCTATAACCTGGGGAGAAGGGTCCTCACCTTCTATAACTCTTGAACACAACCCCAGAAACTTCGTCCCTTTGCTCTTACTTGTTATCCAGTGACCCTGTGCTCCCAAGTAGGCGATTGGAGGTGCAAATGGCAGTCTCCCACTCCTTTCCTCCCTTTTCCTGCTATTTATGTTGCGTTTGATCACTCATACATGTTGAAGTAGATATAAAAAGTTTTTAGTCTTGTGATGCAAGGAAGGACCTTTTTAAGGTACTCTGGAAGCTAGTGTCTGAGTCCACTCCTCTTAGAGTGCAATTTTTAGCAGAAATTATCATCCTTTCCACAAGAATCACTTGCTATAAGTTTTAATACATTTTTGCACAGTAGAAAACTAGCTTGAGAAACAACTGCAACATATGTTTAAGTGTGTTTCTTCTGTGAACTCAGAAAAGCAGAGAATCCAAAAGCTTTTCCACAAATGAAATATCCTCATTCATGTCTCTAGGTTCATGCATTAGCTGGAGCAGGTGGGATAGACAATCTCCTACTACTGGATCTGCAGAAGTTCAAGCCTTTCACACATGGTGTGGCAGCTGCTGGAGGTGGTGGGGTTAATATGGCTTCGCAACAGAAATGGAAAGTTGGGGAGCAAGAATTTGAAGCACTCATGCGGATGCTGGACAACCTGGTGAGAGCATGTTGATGGCATTGTCTGTATAGTCTCTGTAAGCTCTGAGTGTAGGGTTAGCTTCTGTAAAGCAAACAATTGTTTCTGGTTTCATTGTGAGTTTGAAAATGAAGATGTAGTAACTATTATTGTATATGAAATCTCCTTGGTTTAGGTCTTACTTTGTCACTGTATCTGACAGTAGTGTTATGTCTTGATAAGAATTTATAATGTTTTGAACTTAAATTTTGTCCAACCCATCTCACAAACACATTTGCTCTTTATAGTAGCTTAACAGTAAAAATGTTTTAATGGCTACCTAGAAAATAGACTGAACAGATTCCATTTATATTTTTTTATTCACTCTAATATTAGGGAATAAGAGGAAAACTTATTATTTGTTTGAAATATCCATTTCACTACACTCTGAATTCTGGAACAGCCTTTGATACAAATAAGAGTGAAGGGTGTGGGAGAGTGTCATCAATGAGGATGTGCTATTTTTCAAGACAGATAAATGTCCTCATGAATGCTACCTAGGTCACAACCTGAGCAGGGCGTCATTTGGTGGTCATGCATTCACAAAGGTAGGAGGAAGGTGAAGTGCGAGTTGGGCCCTGTCCAGCTGCTGCTGTACTGTATTTTAAATGGGTCTCTTGAATGCCAATACTATGAATGAATGATGGGCAACACCACTAGCCTGTTCTCCGAAGATCTCACTGGACCTCTAACGCATATAAGAGAAGCACACAAAGCTTCCATGACTTTTTTGGATACCTTTTCCTGATTTTTTTTTATTTTTTTAAACATTCTTTCCTTTTTTTCTTCCTCCTCCATAGGGATACAGAACTGGCTATGCCTATAGGCAACCACTAGTCAGGGAAAAACCCAGACACAAGAGTGATGTGGAGATCCCAGCCACTGTGACTGCCTTTTCCTTTGAAGATGATACAGTCCCGCTTTCCCCCCTGAAATTCCTAGCACAGAGGCAACAAAGAGAAAAGACAAGATGGCTGAACTCTCCAAACACATACTTGAAAGTTAATGTGCCTGAGGAGTCCTGGAATGGGGAAACCAGTCCCAGGACTAAGATCACGGTAAGTAGATTTTTTTTTAGGGGGTCACATAGTTTTTGCAGTACTTGAAAGTAAATTACACATGGTTTATATGAAGAAATCTTTAACAGGATTAGCAAATAAGTGTATCCAGCAAATAAAAATAGGCGTTGGGGAGACTTAATGACGTTAGTACTAAAGGCTCCCTCTGTTTGGGGCAGGGGGGTTTAACTATTTGGAATAGTAACAGTTTATGATAAAACCTAATAATGATTTCCTTCTTGTTACTAGCTCTTATGATTCCTGAAGTAGAAAACAGTTTTTCTACCATATTTTTCTGTGCTATTAATTATCCACCAAACATAGTAAGGTTTTAAATCACCCGTGGGTTGTTCTGTTCTCTACAGATCTGAGATACAAGCTCTAATTCATCTCTAATTGCCCCTTTCCTGTTTGTGAGCCTACTGAAAACAGACTTTGAAGAGTCTGTTCATGCTGCTACTTTTAATGATGATCAAGATTTTTCCTCCTCCTTTGGCTCACCAAGATGCTTTCACTGTGTTTGCAGCATGGAGAGAGGTCGCTCTTTTGGGACTGTGAAGCATGTTTGTTGTCAGGTTACTCCCAGTTGCCTAGTACAACTGTAAAAGCATCAGCTCCTCCTGCTGGCAGGCTAGTGAGCTTTTAAACTGAAGTTCGGGAGAAATGCCCTTAGCAACTGATTTAAACCCCTCCATTCTTAAGGAATGTATTTCACTGTTTACTGAAAGCAATCTTGACAGTACATGTTCAAGGCGATTTAAATCCTCTTGGCAAACGTACAGACCTGCAAGGAGTTGGGATTATTCTGTGAGTGGCATGTGGAATTGAGAATAAAGTCAGAAAGTCCTTTCTCTGTATCTCTTTTTTAACTCTAGGACAATGCTGAAAATTGTTCCTCCCCTTCATGCTGGTGTGTTTAGCTTTTTTTGGTTGTTTTTTTCTTTAAGTGGATGAAAGCTGATGACTCCTCCAAGACTAGTGGAGGAACACCAATCAAAATTGAAGATCCAAACCAATTTGTTCCTCTAAACACAAACCCAAGTGAAGTGCTGGAAAAGAGAAATAAGGTAAAAGTGTGATGAAATGAAAGTTATAATATTCCCAAATAAAATTATACGTTCAAGCAATGATCCAGCACAGCAGTAAAATAACATGTTCAAATGTTCTGGTTTTGCTAAGAAGTTTCTTACCTTTTTTTTTGGCACTAACATGCATTTATTTAAATATCTGATATACATGAAATCCATAAATACATATGCTATATATATATAAGTTTTGAATGAAATAGTTTGATAAATGATAAGTATTAACTCTGGAAATGATAGGTTGGGAATGGTAAGGCCTGCTATTTATCATTATATTTAGTGATTAATAGGTGTCAGCATGAATCAAATTGCTGTGTGTCATCTAGAGCACGATTCAGTCTCAGACTGTAATGTCACTCTGTTCGGTATTAATTTGCCTAGCAATTATTAAGGTGGAGCTTTTATGGTCCAGTCTGCTTCATAATGGCAGTAAAAAGACAAAATGGGACATCTTTGTTGGACCTCTCTCTAAACACAAATATCTCACTGCTTTTCCCTTCCAGCACGTAAGACACTGACTGTCAGAATGGCCAAATACTCCACCCTAGACATAACTATATTAACAGATATTCAGGACACTTTCCATTTGATTACATGTTCTTTTCTTTCGTGGAAAGCACCATATCAGTGTCCGTGGGGACTGAACTGGAGCTAGAAGGAGAAACTCCCTTCCTTAGAAGTGGAAAGGCACCCACTAATCATCTGGAGATTAATAGTACAAGCCCCAGAAAACGATTTTTGGATTTATGCATGTCACTGTCTCATTAGATAGTTTATTCCTATTTTTTGCTATAGATTTTATTTTAATACAGTCTGTACTTGTATTTACATCTGATCTGTCAATCTCTTAAGCACTGACAATGTGAAACTAGGGCTGTTTATTTGGGGAGAATAGTGAGCTAGTTGCAAAAGGAAAACTTTACAAACCTTTATGACTGCAGAGATCTCTCTAGTAGCTTAACATGGGTCTTTTATGGGATGGAGAGGACAGGTTCAGAGACACACTGTTTCTTGGAGCTCATTTCTAAATATTGGCTTCCATGAAGTGCAGGAGCTGGGACGAGAGTGGATATCTGGGAGTACTCAAAGGGCAAAACAACATATGCAGTGTATCCGGAGGTGGAAGAAAGAGTTCCATATTTATAGGTGCAGCAGCATACAGCTTGATCCTCCAGCCATTCACTGCAGCCTGTGTTACTGGCTTTGTGAAGGTGATGGGCATGGGATTTGATAAAGATAAATATCTGTTTCTAATCTGGTTTATTTTCTCTATATAGATACGGGAACAAAACCGATATGACCTAAAGACAGCAGGACCACAGTCTCAGCTGCTCGCTGGGATTGTTGTAGATAAAAAGCCAAGTCCGGTGAGTAAGACATAATTCATTGATTGACAAATGTTTGGGTTATTTAGCTGCCTGTCTTTCAAACATCAGTTGGGGCCATTTTCTTTCCAAATGCTTTGTTAAATCTGATTATTTCAGTGCCAGGTTCTGGATGCGTAATACACTTTATTCATGTTTCATTTCAAAGGCTTGAAATGTTAGTTTCAAATGGAGATATGCATGGTAAGTTTGCCTATTGTTAATATTAACGAAGTGGGACCCCTGCCTAAGACCATTTAAGCTAAAAAGGATGAACATTGCAATGCAGGGTGCCAAAAATCATCTTTTCATCAGTCTGTGCAAATTCTGCTAAAGGAAATAATACTCAGAATAACTGAATTTAAAAGGTGGGATGGGACCACATAGAAGGCAGCTTTCATTAGAAACGTTCTTCTCTTTGGGAGACCTGTCTGCACTAATCTCTTCTTGAATAGAATAGACTCACTTCCAAACAGTACAGACATGCCTAATAAGGCTATCTAACAAACTGTGATGAATTGTAATTGGAATTCTATAGATCTACGAGGTTTCCAACTGTCCATGAAATAGTACATCTGTTTCCTCATTTTGGTTTCCAGTATTCTTTTGCCATAACCCTGAGTTTGCTTATTTATTTCAGGCAAGAAGAATATTTTGTAAACAAGTATTCTTTCTTCCTCTCGGAAGAGCTCTTCCAGTTAGATTCCTAAACTGGTGAATGAGCAGTTACTTACCTACAAAGAAAAATCCTAGAATTTGGGGCATTTGCCAAAAATATGAGAAACCTTATTTTTGAATCCCTCTTGCTAAAGGAGTTTTACTTCTCTGAAGGGTTTGTTAGTTCCTGAGGTGTAAGCTGTTGAGGCAGATCTCTACTTTAAATCTGTCCCCCTTGATACACAAAGCCCCCCACCCTCAAATATGATTGTTCTGCTGCAAAAGGATGGTGATTTAAAGCTCAGTACTTAATACTTATTGCTATGTGAATGTTTATTAAGTGGTTAGTTTTTGTCTGCATACGTCTTACGGTTTTCTTCTGTATTCCTTCTCAAGCTGGTGTCACCAAAATTTGGGAAAAAAAAAAGAGACATTAACCACATACGTCCTGCTCGGTCATTTGCTGCTTTTGTGTTTTTCAACACATTTGTTAAATGTTGTGCTTTTCTCTTTCCCAGCCAATGCAATTTGAAGATGATGAGCATGCACCACCAGCACCACCCAACCCATTCAGCCGTCTCACAGAAAAGGAACTGGAAGAGTATAAGAAAACAGTTGAACGCAAGCAGCAGGGGTTGGAAGGTCAGTAGTGTGTTTTTAAGTGTTGAGATTGAATGAGTTAATTTTTACTGTATAATTATTAGTTATTAGTATCTACCATTGACAACTACTTTGAACTAATCGTTCTTTGAGACAACAGATTTGTTTTGTTAAATATTGGTTTGGGGTTTGGTTTTTTTCTTCACGTTGGTTGGTGCTAACATTAAAGCAATGGAAGGTTTACACAGAAATGGGGTTGATAAAACCACACTAACATAGTGACTTCTTTTGTCAGAATCATAGAATAACTTAGGCTGGAAGAGCCCATGAAGTTCATCTTAGTCCAACTTCCTCCTCAAAGTTGCTATCAAAGTTAGATCAAGTAGTTCAGGTCTGTGCCCAGCTGAGCAAAATTTTACTGAGATGTTTGGTCTTGGGTTTTTTAGTTTTAATTTTATTCTCCCAATGTGCAGACTCATTTACTTTCACTTTTTACATCTTCCAATACTACTGTTGCACAGGGAATTACTAATTCAGGGTTGATTTTCATATATATATTTTATTAAACAATAACACTTACTATACATTCATCTCCACTAATATTGTGTAATAAAACTATGTTACTATATACCACATTCAGGGCATAGTGTAATAACTTACTGTAACAGCAAACTGTGTGACTTAACAGATAAAACAGATGCTACTTGAAATGCAACCCTGCCAATCTTTTTAATGTTTTCTATTAAAAAACTAACATATAATGATTGTTAGCAGATAAATGTGTAAGTCTGTAATTCTGTGGAGTTTAAAGTGTGTACTGTAACTTCTTGATGTTGTCAGCATGAACAACACAATGCAGAGCTGTAAATCCTGTAGCACTAGCACTGACATTCTTGCTTGATTTTTACTTTGCATGGCTACTAATTCAAATCTTGTCCTGCAGATGCGGAACAGGAATTATTCTCAGATGACGGTTCATCTGTGTCACAAATTCAGTCACAAACTCAATCCCCGCAAAATATCCCAGAAAAATTAGAAGGTATTCCATGCAATTTCTGTACAATGTCAATGGCTCTGATAACCTGAGTCATCCACTCTTCTGCTGCATTCTTACACTTGCATGAAGCCAATTGAGCTAAAAAGAGCCCACTTCTGTCAAGTCTGGGTGGGACTCTGTCCAGAAAACTGTGTTTCTCAGTTCTTTCCTGATGCTTAGTTCTGGCAAACAGAAACCAACACAGGTCTAAGTTTCAACTTAGATATTAATAAGGTGGAGGGAATCGATTTTATTTTTATTTTACTGGAAGTGTTAAGATAAGGATTTTTTGCCTAAGACTTTTCCAGCAAAGTCTAAGAAGGCATTTTGAAAGGCTAGCTCTCCAAGAACACCTGTATGGAATGGCTGCATTTTCATAAAGTAGTCTCTTGCAGTGAAGTGGAATTCTGAATGTGCTTGAGACTACATGTATATGCTATATATGCAGACTGTATTTGTATATACTCTCTATAGCTTGAGCTGTACGTATACCTGCCAGAGATAAGATTAGTTTTTTCACCCTGTTTTCCTTTCATGACCCTTTCAAAGTATTGTCTGCATACAACAAGTGAAAGTGTGGGTAAAGGGGAAAAAAACACATCTAAGCACTTCGGGTTTCATTCCTTGGATCACAATCCAGACTCACAGGCTTTGTTTCAATACTGGGGTTTTCTGCATGATAGTGTACAGAAATAATTGCAAAATTGTCTGTTCCTTCAGAAAACCATGAAGATCTCTACACCCAGAATGCTAACCTAATATCTGTGGAGCTGCCAGTTGTGGTGGTGAACGGCAAGGAAGATGCACATGACATGGAAGAAGATCTCACCAAGAGGGTCAGTCAGCTAACCACTAGTACTGTGGAGAGCGTGGAGATCACAATTAAAAGCTCTGAAAAGATAGAAGAGGCCCTGTCCCCTGAAGGGTCACCTTCCAAATCCCCTTCAAAGAAGAAGAAGAAATTCCGCACTCCTTCTTTCCTGAAAAAGAGCAAAAAGAAGGAGAAGGTAGAAGCGTAAGTGCAGTTCCATTGCGAGGAGACATTGCACATTTTAAATGTTTAAGTTGACCATTAACAGCGTAGTGTTAGGGGTGTGCAGTAACTGGACTTTTAACCTAAACAAAAAGGAACTGGAAGAGGTTTTGCTTTAAGAAAACCAACTAAACAAACAAAAAAAAAACAAAGAAACCCTTTCATGGTAATTGAAAGTTAGTTCATCTCTCTCTTAACTGTGTCCAAAGTTGCTATGAGGATTGGAAACATTCATTAGTTTCATATAGAACTACACTGGCAGGTGCTCAATTCCCATCATAGCAAGATCAAATACCATCACAGTATGCGGCAGCAAGTTATGCTTGGAGTATTTTGCAGACCTTAAAATGATCAGTACAGCCAAAGTCTTCATTAAAGTTGCTGTTGAGTGATCATAGGACTTTTCAAAACTGCTGTCTCATTTGGTAACCAGCTCATACATTTTTGTATTGTGATTTTGACCATATATTTGGTTTCTGTACCCCTGTTTGAGCGGGTGCGTGTTAACAGCACACCTTTAAATCTTTTTTAAGATTAGATCATATAGGACTATTATACACTGGCACATAATATTAGGGAAAAAACTGTGTAAGAGAAAGTTTATTTGGAATTATACAAAATGTCTAAAGAATTCCATTCTTCAATAACTTTTTTGCCAAATATTTCATTTTAGTGAAATATAATTTTTGAAGACTTCTTTTTTATTCTATCAGTTGGGGGAAGGACACCCTTATTTTTCGAGAAGGGGGGGTTTTATACACTTAACATTGATAATTTAGTTTAACTGGCAAAACAAAAAGAAGATTTTATATGTTCAAATGTTTGTATACCACTCAGTATAAAGGTATTATAAGCATGTGAACCAAGCATTTAATAGTAGAGTGTATTTAAGAATGCTTGGGTTAGAGTATACTTAAATATAATTCAGGAATCCAGGGACTTAGGAATCAGAAAATAAAAGCATATAAAACTGAACTGGATTCACGTTTAAAAACTACTTGTGGGTTGTTTTATTTTTCTCTCATGGTATTGCTAATGAATGAAGAAAAATAATCTCTTAACAAAACCAAATGAAGGAAACAAAACTGTTAAAAGGGAAAGTGAAATAGTAAGAAAATAGGAAGAGACAAAAGAAAGTAAAAGTTTGGTGATTATTTTTTTTAAATATATGCTATGGATTGTGGGATATTTTTATTAAATCAGCAAAGTGACATTTCCATATTAGACGTTTGAAATCATTTGTATGGATTCATGCGGAGTGCAACACTTTGGGTTTCTTCTTCGCTTTCATTTGAATTGTAAAAGGGTCTCATGAATCCGTGTTGTCCTTTGGGTGAACCCAGAGCAAACCAGAGCCTAGTGCCATGGGTAAGGGTGGTACTGCCACTTACTCATTTTTACTGATGTTGTCATTTTAGTACTTTTACTGTATTGTAAATACAAACTAAACATAGAAATTAACATAGGGTTTTCTTCGCTGTGTCAAATGTCTGTAAATCAGCCATCGCAATAGGAAGTACATTTTAAAGATCCATGTGATTCCCAAACTGCCGGTTGAAATATTATACCATATATAATTGTTAAATATGGCTGGAGAGTGGTTTGGCATGCACAAATGTTGATTATAGCATGTTTGGGGGCTGGTTAGCTTTGACCGTGTAAGTGTGATAACGCAATGTTGGAATGGATCCTGGAAACAATTTTCTAGCTATCACTAAATACTGGAATCAGTGTTTTTAATCATAGTGGAAACTTTCAGTTGCTTAACTTTTGGGTTTTGTTTCTTTTTATGTTCTACATTACTCGTGTTGTATTACACCAGGTGTAGAAACAGTAACCTGTGAACGACGCTTTTCATAACTTTTTTAAGAATATATCTTAAATGAATGCAATGTGCATAAATATTTTTTAAAATGCAACCCGTGAACTATTTGCACCTTTTGCTAATGCCTCTATTTCCTTGCTTTGGCATAAAGAATGAGCCAGCCAACTCTTGTGTCCTGTGGAAAATATATAAATGTTATCGGAAATTGCTCATAGATGTAATGCTAATTAATGTTAAATCACAAATAAACAGTATTTTAAATAGATGGGTTGTGCAGAGCGGCCTTTTGTTCCTGCAGCACTCCCACATCGCTCGCTTGTTTAAAAGATGCTTTGGTTATGCACGTGACTCCTTGAGAGCTTATCCTGAAGGTGGCTTCTTTCTTGTGCTTGTTCTGAAAGCCGTGCAAGAAACCAGTCTGACTGTATTAGAGAGTGGTTGTTTTCTCTGTCACAGCTCCTGGAGATGAAAGAGGACAGGCCCGTGGTAAAACAACACCGTGCTGTCAGGCAGCAGGGTTGAACCCGAACCCCAGCTGAGTGTGTGCTGCGGGCTTTCTTCTCCCAGAGCACACTGACCTGTCTGCTTGGTCTCACTCTGCAGCATGGGTTTAGATGTGACAGCCCAAGACGCAGCACTGGGGTGGTTTAAGTGCTGTCAGTACAGAGCAGGGGAATTGCTTGTGGAAATCACCATTTTTTTTACTTTATTAATGAAAACAAAGTTTTTTTCTGTCGGGAAGGTTTCTAATGCAAAGTTACTTGAAGACATCTGTGTCGTGCCCTGTCAGCATATGGTATACCTTGGACTCACAGAGGCTGCAGTGTTGTGTTTGTATAGCTGCATCAACTGTGTGAAATGTCTGTAAGGAATTCAACACATATTTATTTTCATTGTCCTTCCACAAATCAGCCTTTTTGTGCCTGTTGACAAGAAAGTAAAACTCCAGCCCCCTGAGCCTGTGGCGGTTTCATGAGCTCAGTCCGTGCATGAGACATTCATTTTGATTCAGCATCTTAAATAAACCAAGATTCAGACTATATCTTACTATTGTTTGTCTCCAGGAGCATCCATGCTCTGTTTCGTGCTGCACTAACTTGAAAGCAGATACTATCAAAACAGAGGAGCTAAAGCTGTGTTACACCAAGTGCATCTGTAGTTTTCTTCTTTGAACTCTCTCTATTCCTATGAGTCCATGAACCACAACAGACCCTTCATTTTTACTTAGATCTGACTCTCACAGTGTTACACGAAGGATCTGAGACTCTGCGAGCCAACGCATGGAAATGAAGTAGATGTTCGTAACAGGCATAACATATATAAAGGCTTAAATCTTGGGAAGTAGGAGCACTTGGAAAGATGAGCTTCAGAACAGGTCATTGACGTGATAGGAAGTAATTAGTACTATCAGGATGCTTAACCCAAGAAACAGCAATACAGAGAAGCAGCAGGGTATGCTATGGGGAATGACGTGCAAGCTGCCATCTGAGAACTTTATAAAGGAAGACAAAGGGTTTATAAGGCTGTGTATCTTTCTAGCCCACTTTTGTCTACATATGGCCATGCTAAAATCTGCATTGTGACCTGGATGATCACCTGCTGACTTCTCTTACAGACTGTGAAAACCTGTTCTGGAGATGAGGGTTACATGGCAAACCAGATTGGGCTTGATCTGCAAAAGTTGCCCAAAGAGGTGTACTTTAGATACTTGAGCCTGATCTAAAGTATCGGGCCCCTATCACAAGGAGGCATGATAATGTCATGGTGAAGGCTGTAATAGGCCATTTGGACCAGTGTTTTCCTGTCGCGCCAGCTGAGTTATTGTAAAGTGCTGAGCGTGTAGGATAAATCCTTGTAGGAGTTGAGGATTTTCTATTCTCTGGATGTCCCGTTTGCAAAACCGTTGAGTTTTCGCTGTTCCACCCTGTGGAAACTTCTCAAATACAATGTACTGCTAAGAAACCAAGGGCAGGGAGACAGAGCCACCGAGTCCCACGCTGGGCATGTGGATCTGGTGGGAACTTCTGGCATGAGCACTGATAATGTTCCTCCCCTTTCCTGCACACTGGTGGGGAAACGCATCCCCCCTCCCACAGGATTGATGTGTGGGTCCGTGTTTGTTCCTTTGGTTATCCAGGATGTTAAATGAGGTGGAGGGCTCATAGGAAAACACTAATGAGAAGTTGCCTGGTGCTGTCTATGCGGCCGCTCTGTGGGCACTGCCACCTGAGTGGCTTATGTGGCACAAGCAGCTCGGTGAGGATGCCAGGAGGGTGTTTGGTGGGGATTTTAGCTGTTGCAGAGCCTGTGTAAACTCCTACATTTAGAGACTTGCAGATTGGCCAAATTTGCACAGACTCTTTCAGGAATAGTAGAAAGCCCACCCCTAATATTAAGGCTTCTCAGCTCTTTGCCACAATCCCAGTTGCAAAGCCAGCAGCAATTCAGGTTTCTAAGAGAGAAGATTGCCAGAATTTCATGTGGAGAAACCTGTCTTTCCCTGCAGGCCTGTTCTTTGGAAGCTTTACGTGTTACCTGTGCCAGCCGGACCTGCAAGCGCACCCAAGCAGTTTGCACTTGGAGCAGAACACAGCATGGACAGTTTCAGTCAAGTCTGATCACCTTGTGAGCAAATAAAGCGAAGCCTGAAGATGAGAGCTGGAGAGCAAACAAGAGTTCACTGTGAAATAGTGGTTTAGAGTCCCAAACGCAGCCTTTGAACGGTGAAACCTCAGGCGGCCTTTAGATGGCATCAAACTCTAACGTTTGCTGCCTTCGCTCCCTGCAGCCGGAAAGCCATTAACAAAGAGCTCTCAAAGAAAGTGTTTCGGTGGAGCTTCTGTGGGCTTTATTCCAGTTCCAGCGGAACGAGATGAAAGCAGACATCTGGCTGCTGGGCTCGCTTTCGGTACTGGTTCATTTCAAAACCCAGCAATGGAGCAGGCGAGACCTCTGCTCCCCTCCGTCCTCCCGTGCTTTCTCAGCTAGTGAAGGATGTTTTGAAGGGGGTTTTGCACTTGTAAACTCTCTCCAGAGAGCAGAATTCCCTCATGTTCAGTATTCCCTCCCTAGCAACCTCACCCATCGACTGAGGGCTCTCGGCATTTCTGGATGGTTGGGGCAGAAGTGATGGGAGACCCTGTGGAAGGTGTGCAGTGGGACAGGGCTCAGAAGCCACAGAGCTTCGGGTGTCTGGGGCTGGGGCAGAGCCTGGCTGAGCTCCTCCTCAGGAGAGCGGTATCTGAACCACAGAATCCCAGACTGGTTTGGGCCAGAAGGGACCTTAAAGCTCATCCAGCTCCAGCTCCCTGCCACAGGCAGGGCACCTTCCATTAGACCAGGTTGCTCCAAGCCCCGTCCAACCTGGCCTTGAACACTGCCAGGGATGGAGCAGTCCCAAGGCTGTTGGTGAGGTGACCCAACACCACACATGATGGGCACCGCCAGCCCTTTGTGCTGAAACCAAACCCGTGAAAACCCACTGGATGCAGGCGTGCTCCCTGCCCAACCCTGCCCCGCGCGGGTTTCACCCAGCACGGTCAGAGCAAAGCCATAAACGAGAAGGTGCCTGCTTTGCACCGCCTGCCCCAGCTGCCGTGCAGATTGCAGCTGTTTGTCCCAGGCACGTTGGAATGGAGAACCAGGAGTCATGGAAGGCACATCTCTGGGAAGATCTACACTGAAGGAAGTAGTTTTAAACCATCGGGAAACGTGCTGCTGTGGAGGAACCGCACCAGTTCTGGAGGTTGTGCTGACTTCCCGTAGCTCTTTACAAGGGAATGGCAAGGGAACGCCGTGCTTTGCCACTGCCAACCCACTTGTGTCTTCTTGCCCTTCAGCAGGCAAATTCTGACAAAGCCATCTTGGTCCCTGTCTCTGAACTGTGCGCTGTTGGAGGCTGAGGGCAGGGTCTCAGGCAGCATCACTGTGCGCTCACCCTGCTTTTGTGCATTTCTCCAAGTGTCCTCCCTTCACCTTTGTAGGAAGTGGGATATTGGGCGAGTTGGCGCTTCATTCTCATCTGTTATAGCTGGTTTTCTCTATTTGTCAGTCTTGAGAAGGGAGAGTCAGCTGCTTGTGCTGTAACTGCTGTGCATGGAAAATCAGAGAAAGGGGAGAAAAGGGAGAGAATGGAGATAGATAAATGTTATTTTTAATATATTATAGAGAGATTATATTATATACTATTCTATCTCTCATATATGATGGTCAAAGGGACAGATGCTCTAAATTGTCTCCAAGAGAGGAAAAGACATTGACTTCTATAAAGTGTAAGCTGTTGTCAGTGCTTCTTACTGGGGATCTGCCTGTAAATGAAGTGCATAAAGGAAAATCAACAGCTGGAAGCAGCCAGAGCACATGTTTCACAGAGCTCCCTTTTCAGTCTCTCTTGCCTGACTTTCCCAGTTTCTCCTTCCTATCCCCGGTCAACGTTTGCCCTGGGGAGAGAAAACCAAATGCTTGAACTCACATGAAACAGATGCTGACCTTTCCCCCTCGAGGATCTTATGCTTTGGGGTGACATTAGTGCATCCCTATCACGCAGGTCCTCAGCTTTCACCTCCAAACCAAGCTGTGCCATGCCACAGACCTGGTGCTGCGGGATGAACAGGGAATCATGCAGCATTATCCTGGCAGAGCCCCTGGCTGCATTTCACACAGGGTCTGGCCGCGGGGTCACTGTCACAGCCTGTGAAGATGCATCACCCAGAAGTGGGCCATGCTCCTTGTTTTGGAGGGCTTTGGGAGCAGGGGAAGCAGACTGTTGGGATGAGCACCTCACCTGGAAATGTTTGCTGTAACTGCTGTCACCAGCACGCAGGGAAGGGGATGTCCCCTCCTGGCTTTGTGTCCTTGTCTCCCCACCTGTGGAGGCAGTGTTTCCTGTCAGTCCCAGGTGGGATGCCAGATGGAGGCGAGTAACTGATTTGAGATGTTTCACCCCAGCTGTGCCAGAGCTGCCCAGCCCCTCACCTCCACTGACCAGAGGACTGAGGGGCTGCTGATGGCCCTTCCCAGGGCTCACTGTCTTTCCAGAGAGAAACAAGCAGAATCCACCAGTGCCAAAGGATCCTGCACCTTTCTGTCTTGCCTGCTTCAGTGCCATGGTTTCCAGGTGCCTTTCCTTTTGCATTTGCAGCAGTACTTTGGTATGACTGCATGTCAATGGATGTAGCTTTTGCAACGTTTTCATGTGCAAATGTTATTTGCAAACCCAAAGCTTGTCCCCTGCACTATCAGGGTGCTGAGCAGCCCAGCTCCGCA